GTGAAGTCATTAAAAGAATTATGCATTTTCTGCAGTCACTTGTAGAATTGAACTAAATGAAGGTCCATCTGATTAATGAGTATCGAGGAAATTATGTTCATCTATAAATTAGACGCAGCTTCATGTTTTTCAAGACATCTTTCCGGAATATGCGTCTGTGAAGGCGTTCAGATAATGACGATATTGCACAGTATTATTCACGAGATTCCTGTCAACAGTAAGGTCGGATAATAGATCAATTTTTATTCAGCAGTGTTGGCCCTGAGGCCTATAGTACAATTACAGTTTGATCTGCTTGCACGTGGTGCTAGTAACATATTAAGTTTCTATTGGCATTGAATGCATATTTCAGATAAAAGCTAATGGTATTATAGTCACAACATCTATATTGTTTGATATTAAAAGATTTGGCAATGTGTGTTCATACATTACACTTTTTGACAGACTTGGCAAATAATTAATAAATGATATTGATAGCATCTTCACGACTTGGCCATACAGTCATGACAATTTAAGGAGTGAAAAGTGAGCGATAGGTCTTGTGGGAATTCAAAAATTCATTAAGACTGTAGCCGTCTAAGCTTAACTCTGTGTGTAATATTTATACATTTTCTATCCACGGACAACACATGCTTCTAATATTAATATTATTTCCATGGATTCATCATATTTTATCTATAGCTGTGCTATAGTTTTTCATTAAAATGTCTTTTCTGTTGTTGGAATTGAAGTAGGTCCCACTCAGAGCTGGGATCATTTGTCTTTGAAATATAAATTATGCAAACGGCTGGAACCTTGTGTTCCAATCCAAAACGTTCGTAGCGCTACGACTTTCGCATGCCTATGATAAACTATAGAGTTGTCCTCAACCATTGACTGGATTACATTCTCTTCGTCAGCAGAGAAATTTCGACTTCTCTTTCTCCTTGGGGTGCAGGCGACATTTTGCGTTTTCATTTTTGGTAAACCGGAAGTAAACAGAAAACGGAACTATGGGATATATGGAAACTAACCAGTGACGTTAACCACACTGTTAAACTTTGACGGCGACGTTAGCTAACGGCATGACTAACCATGTTTTGAACAACGCATATTTAACGTTCGGTTACCTAACGGCCGGTTAAGGATTTAACCGGCCGTTAGGGAGTTAACCGGCGGTTAAGATAACCGAGTATTGAACAACCGGGCCCAGATAGATAGTTAGTTAACCAACTAAGTACGTTTCCACGAACACCATCATTTTCTAATTTGTGCAATAAACCTTTATGCCATGCCCTGTAAAAAAGCTTTTGAAATATCACAAAACAGCATACAGTAAAGGTGGTGATTTTCTAGGACTGAGCATATATTATGATAAATGTCTATGTTGAGATGTAGTAGAATGACTAGCAGTAAAACCTGACTGGAATTTACTTAAAATGTTATGTTCATGGAAATGGTCGTGCACATGCTTTACCATTATTCTTTCAAGGATTTTCCAAAGGATAGGTATTAAACTAATAGGTCTGTAATTAGTTGGGAGGGATGCATTTCCTTCTTTCAAAATAGGAGTAACATTACCCGTTTTAGACATTGTAGGAAATACAGTCACTCAGTGATATATTATACAACAAACAAAGAGGTTCAGCTATAGATGTACAAATTCGTTTTAACACTCTCATGTTAATGCCATCAGGTCCACTAGATTTGTTTGCTGGTAAGGTCTTATCAGATACCTCCTTTTCGGTTACAATGACATTTGTTATACTGTTAACACAGCGATGGCTAACAGGTGGCAAAGTCTTGCCGCCATCAGTAACATTTGAAACAGATACAAAATATTCATTAAATGTTTGAGCTTTATCCAAATCTGTAAAAACTGAAGGTATCCCAGAATCATCAGTGACAAGAAGGGGAATGGGTCCCGATGAAGTAGTAACCACCTGACTGAGGTGATAAAGAGTTATCAAAAATAGATTAAAAGTTTCCCTTGGCTATTCTTTTCAGATTATTTACTTTATTCCTTTGCTTTTTGTATTTAAATAGCTCAGAAGTATTCAGAGATCGAAATGCTTTTTTCCTTAGACGTTCTCATTTCTTTTTAGTATGTTACGAGGGGCGTTGAAAAAGTAGTCAAACTAACTATATTCTCGATGTCCAATGTTTGAAAAAAAGCATCCATTTTATTTTGAAGGAATCATTAGCAAAGTCATATCCATGATTGCATGTGGGTAATGTGGTTAGCGAGATATTAGTCATCACAACATTGGGGTATTATGTTTCTTGCAAATTTGCAGAAAATGGAAAACGATCTCCCATTTGGTATCTAGTAATAGTAATAGTCCGCTTATATGGCGCTCACATCCAGGCACATTGCCTGCTCACGGCGCTACGTACATTACTATCCCCGATCATAGGACACTATCGTAGTTTTCGATACTTTTTAAACTCCCTGGGGACTGTACAGCCATGCTGCCTGTTAGGCGCAATGAACTAAACACTCACATTGCCAGCACATACTCACGGGTACCCATTTTACAGCTGGGTGAACTGAGACAGTGTAGATCTAAGTATCTTGTCCAAGGATACTACGCAAATGTGCCCATCTCGGGAACCGAACCTCGGCGCCTCCTCGAAACAGGGCTTTCAGCGTGATAGGCAGACGCCTTACAACTGCACTATTGCGCTATCTCTTGGATAATGGTATACCCTCAGATAGTATCATATAAAATATGTTCAGCATAGTATTGGATGAATTCCCGTCATCATCAACATTCAAAGATTTGGATTGCTTGATTTACATTTAGACGGGGACTGTATTTTTAGGACACCCTCATTTTAAATTTTCAAAAACATTGTGTCCAGATATACAACATATTGAGAGCTGACACTTGTGTGACCATTCAGTATTTAGTTTGAACCCTTGACACCATGTATGAATAAGTGAAAACTTTAGGATGAGTTATATTCTTATGATGACGTCAACTGAAAGGGGGTGAGTAGTGTCTCCAAAACAAGCCCTTTCAGTAAACATGAAGGGGGAGTCACTTGAACAAGCGATTATAGTTTAAAGTTGCTTTTATGTGCAGTTTAATATCTAAGTTTGACTTTTACCAACATACAACATGTATTTTGCATATTTTGTTTCAATTGGTGTAGGGGGATTCCCGCCAATACACCTTGATATAAAATTGGATCAAAATCTATTAATTCTTTCCTGAGTTCGCGGCTACCAAGCTTGGCATGTGCAAAACTGTTACACCTTCGCTGTGACCTTTAAAATGACCTCAATGTCACTAAATTCAAGTGGTGTCGGTAAATCTCGTCAATAAACCTTGGTACCAAATTTGAACAAAATCCATCATTTCTTTCTCGAGTTCTTTCAGTAAACCGAAGGGGGAGTCATTTGAACAAGCGATTGTAGCTTCAAATTGCCTTTTTGTGCAGTTTAATATCTACGTTTGATTCTAGCCGACCTCTACCAATCTCAAACATACAAAAATGTTTCTTGCATATTTTGTTTCCTGAAGTTTAATTTGTGATGCATGTCATTGCTAGTCAGCTAGGCTATTCCATTTGTCCGAACCACAACATACGGAGACAGATCATTTAGCAGACCGGGTGCTGTACTCTGGAATTGATTACTTGAAAATGTCAGAAAATCGGAAAATATCAACAGTTTCCGATCTTGTCTCAAAACCACCCTCTTCAAAGGAGCATTCGACTAAGTGCACATGAGCAGGACTCTGGATATGTAGCGCTATACAAATGTCTAATTTGATTTGATTTGATTTGATATACCCGTTAGAAACCCACCCCACCCCACTTTATATTTATACATATCAAAACCTCAAAAGATATTTGCGAAAAGACATGATACAGAGGACAGTAAGAGATTTTATATCGATTATATATCAGGACGAATATCATTTTCGTCATTTGGCTAAGATTTGTCAATTCTTTCTTGGGTATCGCGCTAACAATCTTTATATTGGCAAAACCCTCAGATTTTTGCTGTGACCTTGAAAATTATCTCAAGGTCACTCCATTTCACTTGTGTCGGTGAATCTCGCCAATATACCTTGGTACCAAATTTGAACAAAATCCATCATTTCTTTCTTGAGTTATCGCCCTAACAAGCTTATTTGATGTATGAAATGCAACGAAAAACAAACACCCGCGTATTTACGAGTGATTAAAACTGTTATTACAATTTACGTAAATATTTATTACATTTTACCGCAACGAAAATTATTACAATTTACGTCAATTTTTATTACAATTTGCGTATTACAATTTACGTCAATTTTATTACAATTTACGTTTTATTACAATTTTACAAGTTATTACAAGTTTATTTTTATTACAATTTGCTGCAAGTATTACAATTTGCGTTTTATTACAATTTACGTCGTAACAGAAATTAGCAAAGAATGTGATCAACATCATTAATTTCTGCTGCACCGGGACTCGAACACAAGCCTGCCGACCTCGTTACTTTCGAAGATACTAGGTGGGGTATCCTAGTGGTTAAAGCTTTCGCGCATCCTGCCGAAAGCCCGGGTTCGATTCCCCACATGGATACAATGTGTGAAGCCCATTTCAGGTGCATCCCATGTCCCCCGCCGCGATATTGCTGGAATATTGTAAAAAGCGGCGTAAAACTAAAATCAATCACTCACTCGAAGACCCTTTGGGATTAGTCTCTGGCTTCTCGTTGCTCTTTGCCATTGACCTTCAGCACCATTAGGGGCACTGGGGTAGCCAAGTGGTTAAAGCGTTGGCTCGTCACGCTGAAGACCCGGGTTCGAATCCCCACATGGGTACAATGTGTGAAGCTCATTTCTGGTGTTCCCCGCCATGATGTTGCTGGAATATTGCTAAAAGCGGCGTAAAACCAAACTCAGTCAGTCAGTCAGTCAGCACCATTAACCACTGACTTCCCTTGTTAAATGCCACCATTGTTATTTCATCATTGACGCCTCGATTAATCCCTGGCTTCTATTTGTGCATCCCCTCACCAGTTTAGCTTCCCTTGTTGTTATATTATCACTGATGTTGGTTCACATGTACTTCTATAGCTATCTGTTTCATTTTTTTTCCTTCCACCGATAAAGAAGTAACAATATAGTCCGAAACGCTGTGTTCCTCAAAATAAAAAGTTGACATCCATGAATTCTCGCCTTTGTGGTCATTACTTCTAAACGCGGTTCAAAGATTTTACCAGATAACCTGTCGGAAAATGGATGGCCCGTCTCGGTTGATTGTTTGCAGTAATCGCGCCCTTGTGATAGTCGCCCATATCAGTCACTTTTGTTTAGATTGCACTCACTTTATTATCAACAGGTATTATCTACAGTGTCACACATATAACTGTAATATTGCTGACGACTGTTCAAATAAATTAATAGAACTGAATAAATGAATGAATACAAAAGACCAACAGTCGGCATCAACATGTGTGTTTGTGTCTGTCTTGAAGAGACCCGTGAAGGTCTGGGTTAAAATCATGATTTTAAGCAACCCATGCTTGTCGTAAGAGGCGACTAACGGGATCGGGTGGTCAGGCTCGCTAACTTGGTTGACACATGTCATCGGTTCCCAATTGCGCAGATCGATGCTCATGCTGTTGATCACTGGATTGTCTGGTCCAGACACGATTATTTACAGACCGCCGCCATATGACTGGAATATTGCTGAGTGGGGCGTAATACTAAACTCACTCACTCTGTCTTCCAGAATGTTCCAAGATGGTGGAGGGTGCGGCTGATGGTAAAACAGTTGTATTCAAGGAGTACTCCGAGGCTCAGCTGCCAGCTGTTCTCGCCGAATTCTTCTCCAAGGTAAAATCTATATCATATCTGAATATCCAAGGACCATATATCAGTAATTGTTTCTGCATTAGGCAAAAAGATTAACGAAGTAAGAAAGCCCAACTACATGTCGATTAAATTGTAAACTTCATGTATGGCACGTCTTGGTTAAGGGCGGTGGGGTAGCCTTGTGTTTAAAGCGTTTGTTCGTCACGCCGAAGACCCGCATTCGATTCCACACATGGGTACAAAGTGTGAAGCCCATTTCTGATGTCCCCCACCGTCATGTTACTGGAATATTGCTAAAAGCGGCGTAAAACCTAACTCACTCACTTATGAACTAAACTGCGTCAGCAGCGTCTTGGTTAAGGCTACTTTGTACCATAGGTTTAGTAAATCAGCTTATTTAGCTATGTCACGGCAAATAAAGCTTGATGGAGGGAAAGCCAAAGTGATGCACGTTTTACCAGTTGACTAACACGCATGCTCGAGTGGTCCAACCTACAAACGTGATCGGGGAGAACGCTTGTGGTGTCGTATGGTTTCAATTGACCCGTCATCAAAGAAAATCACATGTTCACATGTTCACAATAGGTTTTACATACGGTTATCTATCCTTCCATGACGTCATCTGAACAATACGTTGCCATCAGTGACCCTTCCCTGTAGTGGTGTTCCGATTAATTTAAATAAACTGGTCGCAGTGACCAAACGACCAAGCAATCGATCACATTTTCTCATAAGCGAACATAAACGATTTTGGAACTACTGTTTTAGTCTTTGAAATACTTGACAAGGGAACATATCGTTGAGGTTGTCAGGGCCTGAAAATGTGTTTAATTCTTAGAAAACTCACTTCACTAACTGAAAAACCATGACTGAATATTTCTTGAAGACTCCGGAAGTTTATGTTCATGATATATTAGTCATCACTTTAAAGTAGCAAGTTGTATCATGTTATACATATCTGCAATAACAACCTGGATAGGAAAATCTGAATGACGCTAACCAATTTTTGTCAATGATTGTTCGTTGGTAATGAAACAATCATCAATTGTGAGATTTCAACCAATTCCCAACACTACTTCCCTGTAAGATTGATATTTAGTATGTGTTTGGGTGTTGTTGTTTTTTTGTCTTGTTTTGCCAGATCCGAGTTATTTTTATTTATTTATTACTTTTTTACCATCTTTTTTTCCACAGTTTACATAGTACATGTAGAATACATTCACATGAGTATAATTAATACACTTTCACAAATCCCCATCATACAATGAATAAACGTCTTTGAATATGTTTTGCGTATTTTATCTCAGTGTTTCAAATTATAGTAATAGTACACTTACAATATGTTTTCTGACGTAATATTTTCTGTAAATAGATTGTGGAAAGATGACCAGAAGGCAAAGAACTCGCTGCTACTGCATGTAGAATAGCATTATATTTTGTAATTTCATAGTATTTTGATATCTCACTTACTACATGCTTAAAATTTGGAACTTGTTGTATTATGTTTTGTGTGTATATTACCTGTTTCACAACAAGACATATTGCATTTAAAGAATGATTATGTTTCCAAGTAAGATGTTTTCTGGTGTGAAGTCAATGTTGCCTTCAGTTAGTCATTAGCCATCTGGTCAAACTCTCCCAAATCTTTTGAACATGACAACAATTACAGAGTAGATGGACAATTGTTTCTAATTCTTTTGAACAGAATGTACATAAAGGTGTGTCCTTTGGACCGATTCTATTTAAGAAAATGTTTGTTGGTATAATATCATATAATATCTTCATCTGTAACCATTTCAAATTGCTACATGTAGTACATCGATTTGTCATCATATATATGTGTCGTAACATTGTGTTATCATACTGTGTTTTAAAGACTCTTTCCCACTTTTTATGTGCATATGCTTTATTGTAATTGGGGTCTAGTAGAGAAAGATAAAAAGTTTGGGGGCCTTTACCCCTTAGACTAAGTTTGGATATATAGAATGGTAGTATTGGAGACAATGGGAGTGTTTTGGGAAGAGTGATTTGTCTTCTCTTTAAGCAGGCAATTATAGAAGATTTGATACTATGATATCTTAAGATATTTGTTTTCACTTGATATTTTTTTGTAGTCCTTCATAAGTATAGAATTCCCCTGTAGTTGGGTTCCTTATAAATAAAGTGTATTCCAGGATTGTACCAGTTGTTTATAAAACTTGTTTCGTTACCTATGTTAAACATATAATTAAACCAAATACATTGGTTTAACATGTCATTTGAGTTTAGTGTCTTATAAAGCTTTTGTAAATATGTGTGTTATAATGCTTTTGTAAATCCGGGTTAAATTGGTCTTCTGTAACCCATGCTTGTCGTAAGAGGCGACTAACGGGATCGGGTGATCATGCTGGCTGACTTGGTTGACACACGTTATCGTACCCCAACTGCGTAGATCGATGCTGATGCTGTTGATCACTGGATTGTCTGGTCCAGACTCAATTATTTACATACCGCCTCCATGTAGCTGGAATATTGCTGAGTGTGATGTAAACTAAACTCACTCACTCACTTGTTTTTTAATAGTCACGAGTATGAGCAGTGTATCTGGTAGTGAGTGAGTAGGGTTTTACGCCGCTTTTAGCAAAATTCCATTAATATCACGGCGGGGGACACCAGAAATGGGCTTCACACATTGTGCCCATGTGGGGAATCGAAACCGGGCGAACGCTTTAACCACTAGGCTACACCACCGCCCTATCACCGGTGTGTCTGGTCTAGACTCCATTATATTTTACAGACCGCCGCTCTATAGCTGGAATAGTGTTTGGTGCGGCGTTAAGCAACAACCCGTTAACAAACTAGAAGGTCAAGGCTTCATGTCCTGTTGGGACAGCCAGTTCCCTTCAATGGAGACATGTATTGTGTCTCTCTATATGTAGTGTGTTTCCTCACATATGTGATTCCTTGGAAATTCAAATTATGTCCAGAAGTAAACGTGTGTGTATTTAATGAGTATATATTGTATACCTTTTCAGATGGGAAAACAAACAAGCTGATCACAATATGGATTTTGAACTCTGCAATAAAGTGTACCAATTTGGTGCTTCATGGGGTATGGACTGTGTGTTATACTACTATATTTCATTTCTACCACCACGCCATATATATTCAGAAGTAAGAAGCTGCTTGTACACTGCGAAAACCCAAAGTCTGTCCTACACTTGTGAATAAAGTGATAAACTACTGAATTGTGAGAAACAACAAAGCTGCGTATTGGCATAAAGCGGAGCCCGGTGAGATAGCCACTTGCTCACTTGTAACATCAAAGGTCTGGGTTCGATTCCCAACATGGGTAGAATGTGTAGGTCACATGTAATCGTCTTGGCGTGATATTTCTGGACTCTTGCTTAAATTAATCTATAACAAAAACACAGTGCCTTAGTCATTTTAAGAAGGGGTTTTCAAATGACACATTATTCAACACGGAACTAGATGACATGCAAAATTATTTTTCTTGATGCTATACTGATGTTGATGAGCTTGTGTTAGACTCACCCAGTTTTGAAAGCGAATATTTGATGCGATAGATCACCTAAAATAGGGAAAGCAGTAGACTCACAACTAGTCTCTGAAATGAACATATTATACTGAAAAAAGTTCATAGTAAAAAATATATATATAATAAAAAGGAGCCCTGAGACTTTCTTCATTTTCTGAAGCTGAGGAAATCTAGACTTGCCACATTTTCTAGACTTGTGTGGGCTTTCTTGGATATATTTGCTTCAGGGTCTGTACGAGAGACTAGGAAAGCAGCTGAGCCAGAAGATATAATTATTGAAATGTTGAAGTGTTCCAGGTTTGTTGTTATTATATGCCTTTTCTTTGCAAATGCTTTGATAAGCTATAGGACAATGCACGGTAGGTATTGGTGAAACATGCCCACCTGTTGTCAGAATGTTTGTTGGTGGAACACACGCACCTGTTGTCAGAGTGTATGTTAGTTGTAAGTGAAACACACGCACCTGTTGTCAGCATGCATAGTAAGTGTTGGTGAAACACACGCACCTGTTGTCAGAGTGTAAGTTAGTTGTTGGTCGAACACACGCACCTGTTGTCAGCATGCATAGTAAGTGTTGGTGGAACACACGTACCTGTTGTCAGCATGCATAGTAAGTGTTGGTGAAACACACGCACCTGTTGTCAGAGTGTATGTTAGTTGTTGGTGGAACACACGCACCTGTTGTCAGCATGCATAGTAAGTGTTGGTGAAACACACGCACCTGTTGTCAGAGTGTATGTTAGCTGTTGGTGGAACACACGCACCTGTTGTCAGCATGCATAGTAAGTGTTGGTGGAACACACGCACCTGATGTCAGCATGCATAGTAAGTGTTGGTGAAACACACGCACCTGTTGTCAGAATGCATGTTAGTTGTTGGTCGAACACACGCACCTGTTGTCAGAATGCATAGTAAGTGTTGGTGGAACACACGCACCTGTTGTCAGAGTGCATGTTAGCTGTTGGTCGAACACACGCACCTGTTGTCAGCATGCATAGTAAGTGTTGGTGGAACACACGCACCTGATGTCAGCATGCATAGTAAGTGTTGGTCGAACACACGCACCTGTAGTCAGAGTGTATGTTAGTTGTTGGTGAAACACACGCACCTGTTGTCAGCATGCATAGTAAGTGTTGGTGGAACACACGCACCTGATGTCAGCATGCATAGTAAGTGTTGGTGAAACACACGCACCTGTTGTCAGAATGCATGTTAGTTGTTGGTCGAACACGCGCACCTGTTGTCAGAATGCATAGTAAGTGTTGGTGGAACACACGCACCTGTTGTCAGAGTGTATGTTAGTTGTTGGTGGAACACACGCACCTGTTGTCAGCATGCATAGTAAGTGTTGGTCGAACACGCGCACCTGTTGGCAGAGTGCATGTTAGCTGTTGGTGGAACACACGCACCTGTTGTCAGCATGCATAGTAAGTGTTGGTAGAACACACGCAGCTGTTGTCAGAATACATGGTAGGTTTAGGTGAAACACACGCACCTGTTGTCAGAGTGTATGTTAGTTGTTGGTGGAACACACGCACCTGTTGTCAGCATGCATAGTAAGTGTTGGTAGAACACACGCAGCTGTTGGCAGAATGCATGGTAGGTTTAGGTGAAACACACGCACCTGTTGTCAGAATACATGGTAGGTTTAGGTGAAACACACGCACCTGTTGGCAGAATGCATGGTAGGTTTAGGTGAAACACGAGCAGCTGTTGACAGAATGCATGGTAGGTTTAGGTGAAACACACGCACCTGTTGGCAGAATGCATGGTAGGTTTGGCTGAACCACACGCACTTGTTGTCAGAATACATGGTAGGTTTAGGTGAAACACGAGCACCTGTTGTCAGAATGCATGGTAGGTTTAGGTGAAACACGAGCACCTGTTGTCGGAATGCATGGTAGGTTTAGGTGAAACACGTGCGCCTGTTGTCAGAATGCATGATAGGTTTAGGTGAAACACGTGCACCTTTTGGCAGAATGCATGATAGGTTTAGGTGAAACACGTGCACCTGTTGGCAGAATGCATGATAGGTTTAGGTGAAACACGTTGTCAAGGCGTGTCAGCATATATAGATGCCTTGACGAAACACGCCCAACATACATAGAAACTGTTGATGGAACACACGTAACACGCTTTTGGAAGACAGATTGTTTACAGTATGTTAGAGCTAGTGATAGGATTCAGGACGTCACCACGGCAGCCAGACTTTAGCACAGACATCATTGCGGCTTTCAGTTAGGAGTAGGCTTTGATTGAGCGATCCCATGAGATGAAGTTCTTGTGGAGTTCGATTCCAACATGTTTGATGGACTCAAGGTTCGGAATAGGCTTCCCATAGAGAGTAAGCTGAAGATGATGCACTGCTTTCTTGTCTGTGAAGGTAAGAGCGCCACTCTTGGACGGGGAGAAGCTGAACCTCCATCTTGCGCTGTAGTCCTCACACATGTGCACCAGATCTTGTAGGTTGGATGTGAGCGGACTCAAGAGAGTGATATCGTCAGCTTGCGTTGGAGAAGTGACGTGGAGGCCCAGGACTATTGCACCATTGCCAGAAGCTGACAATTTGCATAGCAGTTCATTGATGAAGGCAAGATATAGTTTGGCTGCTAATACACTGCCTTGTCTCCATGTTGGAATACATGTTGTCCAAAACGTTCCATATCGCACTAGGGATCTTCAGGAGATGCAGCTTGTAGAGGAGACCAGCATGCCAGACCGTGTCAAAGGCTTTGGCACTGTCCAGAAACACGGCTCTGAGAGAATCCGATTGTTCCCAATAATGGTGTGCAGTTTCTTGTATCATAAATGAGGTGTGTAGGGAAGACCGTCCTCGAATCCACACTGTTGTGAATTTGTGAACTCGTTATGATTTCCAAACTCGGGGATGCGTCTCTCGATGATCTTCTCAAAGGGTTTTATTATGACAGGAAGCAGAGTAATGCCTCGGTAACAATCAGCTGAGTTCTTTAGTTTTCCACCTCCTTTGTGTATTGGTGTTACAAGACCTCTCTTCCATGAGGAAGGAAGGAATCCGGTCACAAGAACAATGTTAAACAACTGTGCAAGGACTCTGTGAAGGTAGGTACCACCGTGTTTTAGATGTTCATACTGAATGCAGTCGATAGGCTTCCTGAGACGCAATCTCAGGGCTTGCTCTGAATCAGTGAGGGCATGTGTCTATACCACCGTAGCCCGTCCTATCATGGAATATGCTTCGACAGTTTGGGACCCACACCAACAGAACTACATCAACACCATGGAAATAGAATTGTTTGTGTGTAGCTACACTGACCGCGACCAATGGTGCGTCACTGCCATGCTACACAGTCAGGAGAGCCAGGGCCAGAGCCGCCTTCTTCTATAAGATTATCAACATCATTGATACTGACCTTCGTATTGAAGGAGTAGACGTGCGTACAAGAGGATTGACTGTCTGACTGAGTTTGGCTTTACGCCGCTTTTAGCAATATTCCAGCAACATCACGGTGGGGGACACCAGAAGTGGGCTTCGCACGTTGTACCCATGCGGGGATTCGAACCCGGGTCTTCGGCGTGACGAGCCAACGCTTTAACCTCTGACTACCCCACCGCCCCGCGTACAAGAGGATCATTCATTACCAATGTAGCACAATTAAGGTTAAAGCATTCGCTTGTCACGCAGAAGACCCGGGTTCGATTCCCCACATGGGTACAATTCGTGAAGCCCATTTCTGTTGTTCCCCGCCATCATATTCCTGAAATATTGCTAAAACCCAGATAGCATTGATATGTTGGCCCATAGTTGGCCCATAATCACCGGTTTGGTTGGCCCATGGTTGTCAAACTGACGATGGGCCCACTTGGATATGCTCATCGGCTCCACAGTGGCCCATCATGTTGGCTCATTGTTGGGCCAACGAATGAAAATTCACACAAAACCATGGCCCATAGTTGGCCCAACGTAGTGATTTTGTTGGCCTTATGTTGGCACCACCGTGTTACAACATTTAGCTCTTTCTTGACCTTTGTACTAAACCATGGCCCATACTTGGACCAACGATGTGATTTAGTTGGCCTTATGTTGGCACAACTGTATTTCAACATTTAGCTCTTTCCTGACCTCTGCAATCAGAAACATATATATACAACACAAGTTAATCAAGTGAACTATTTAATTCTTTTTTTCATTGTTATTTGAACATTATTGTATTTCTTCAAAATATTCTTGTCTTAGGTCTTTTGGCTGTCGCAGTTGACAGGTTTTTCGAACTGCTCCTGAAAAAAACCCCCAAAAATTCATGAAACTGTCAGATATCATAATTTTAGACATGAGAACTATCATAAAAGGACATAGTATTTGACCTTATGTTTTATTTGAAACATACAACTTAATGATTATTAATGTTTATTGCACAGAGAGACGTTCGGATGTAGATTCTTACACTGTTATCAAGCTAAAACCAAATGATGAGAAGTATATATGCGTAGTATGTTTTGACAATCAGCAGACTGACATTAACAACAACATGTAACTGAATAACAACTGGTACATTATTGGGAGAGGCCAGATGGGGACTAAGAACAACAAATGGAACTGGCGATGAAGCCAATAAACAAGGGGAGATTCAGTTGTAACAACAAGCTGATAGGGTGCTTTGATAGAGTCTATAGTTTGATTAGTTCTTCATTGGTCTGTCGTTTTCATGTGACTGCCAAATTTGGTTTTGTTGCAATTATTAGATTTTGTGTTAGTGAGCAATTCGTTGGTCTCAAATGAAATCAAACAGACTATGAGTTGGTGGGTTACTGGTTGAGGCTCGTGAAGACATGTTGTAGGTGATTCAGCTCATGTTCTAGGTCATGGCTGCTGGAGCAATGTTCTTAGCGTGCTTGATCAGGGTTGAGATGACGTCAAACTTAGTTTTAGGGGGCTAGTTTGACAAATTCGAAATCTTATCCACCAAGAATCAGGACTTCACAAAAAGAAAACTTTTGGAAGCATCAAAATCAGCCGCCACAAACCAATGATGAATAGAGACCAAGGATACTATATACCACTAACTGACTGACTGAGTTTGGTTTTACGCCGCTTTTAGCACTATTCCAGCAACATCACGGCAGGGGACACCAGAAATGGGCTTCACACAATGTACCCATGTGGGGATTCGAACCCGGGTCTTCGGCGTGACGAGCCAACGCTTTAACCACTAGGCTACCCCACCGCCCCATTACATACCATTGGGATATGAAGAACTAATCAAACTATAGACTCTATCAAATCACCCTATCAGGTTGTTACAACCTAACACCCCACCCCCCTCCCCCCTCCCTTCCTTGTTAATTGGTTTCATCACTAGATCCATTTGTTGTTCTTAGTCCCCAACTGGCCGCTCCCAATTATGTTTATTTGACAAAACATACTATGTACATGCATATATACTTCTCATCATTTGGTTGTAGTCACTTTTAGCTTGATAACGGTGTAAGAATCTACATCGAAACGTCGCTCTATACAATAAACAAGAAGTTGTCATCCATAAAGTTGCATGTTTTATTTTTGACTCACCAACTTCTAGACAGCTGTTCAAACAATGTTTTATTTGGATATGACGTGTAACTACTATAACTGTGACACATATATCTGATATGATGATGTTTAGAAATTATTGGTTGTAAACATGAATAATAGAGAGAGTTGTATATGGAAACAGGAGTGTAACTGACAAACACTTAATGTTAATAAAGTAAACACAATAAATTTAAATAATTTAAAAATGAAATGAGATTGATCAAAGTGGTTAAAACAGGCTACCTAAAGAAAAGAGTCAATTAAATCTTTTATCTACTCAATCAATTGCCTTTCAATACAGTATGTGTCAGCTTCTTTAGCCTAAATGATGATTTAAACCAATTATTTCACAATATATTTGCAATTCAGTATCACAGAAATAACAATGCATATTTACCAGTTGAAGGCCTCCAGAATGTCGTCTGCTCTTTGAATATCAGGTAAAGCTATCCATGATGACAAGTTTGGTATTCAATTTGGAGAAAACAACGCTGTAAAATTCACTGCATCATAGTTGAAAGACAGGGAAATGGATTCTGTGTAATAATTTCAACTTTCATCAAAATCTTTATAAGAAAACATGGCTAAAAATGGCCGTGTGCTCACTCTTTTATTCACAATGTTGGGCCAACGGTGGCCCAGCTTTGTGAAATAGATGTAAGATCAGGGAAAATAGGCAGAGTTTATCAAATGTTGGCCCACTGTTGGACCAACATGTCAAAAGCCACCGTTACTTTTAAGTCATTAAGATAACGTTGGGCCAATGTTGTCAATCTGTTGGCCAACCAACCAACCATATACCAACATTGGCCCAACACACCTTTGCTATCTGGGAAGCGGCATAAAACTAAACTCACTCATGGCTGAACACATCTCCACCATGTGATCATACCTAAACTCTTTTTCTTTTTATCTTATATGAAAAGAGTAAAAACATATTGCGAGCGTTCTCGCTTTTATGAAAGATAAAAACACAAAAAGACTGGCTGTTTGGTACCACTCTGGCGGGCTGCGCAGCACTCAAAACGCTGGAACAGTAACACCACTCACGTGGTTTGTTCCTACAAGGGAAGAGAGTGTATAAACCTACATATATAATATCATTTGCAAGATATTGTAATTTGTACACAACATATTTCTTTTCTAAATAGTAAAATCGTTTTGAAAAGAAATTACATTCTCGCTTCGAGGACATACGTCACGTAATTTGCACGTTAATAGCAGAGACAAAACCCTTTCCACACCCATAAGAAATAATGCCACCATCGATCCTTTGCTTCAAATGGCGCCCCGACTTGAACAGGCCGACCTTGACCTTGTAAACAGTCCGGTTCAGGTTGAGATCAGAGACGACTGTGAGACACACGTGGGTACATGTATTAGCGGCTAGTTCTGTTGCCAGTAGATATGTGTAAATCGAGTTGTGCGTGCACTGATTGTGTACTTGGTTGAACACATATGGAGGGGGACATGACAAAACTATGTAGAAAAACTGTCACGAGTTATTTATACGAGTTTCGTACAAAAATGGAAATCACCCAATGACAAAGGTATCGCTCGATTTCCTTGTAGCTTGGCCATTTATATCTGGGATAATCTACAACTTAATATTCTCCCTGTTTATAAGTAGAAACAGGTCTGTAACAACAATGAACTCATTTATTAGTGCACAGAAATGTTCAATACTGATTTTCTGATAGCCTGTATGTATTTGAAACAAAATTATGGGCTATGAGCAGATATAGAAGTAGTCCAGCATATAACTAGACGACTTTGCACTATACCAAGGTTGGCTGGAATACGAGTTTATTCATATGAACTATATTAGTTCATATGAATAAACTCGTATTCCAGCCAAGGCCATATGCTGGACTAATATAGAGGATGCTATATTTATATAGTCCATTTGGCTCAAAAGCGGACCGATGAATTGTAATCTAACTCGAAAACAAATAAAAATATAATACTCAATGAAACGCTGATCATAATCAAAACATAAGACCAACTCTGTGATTTGTTTGCAGAATTTATGTCCTAAATTTTAAAAGTTGTTTAACAAACTATCATTAAAATTTTGACACAGTTCACTATTTGTTATGAGGGAGGAGTGCAGAGTAAGGGACAGCCAGGTGTTAGAGAAGCACGTGCACAAGTGCCGACAAAGTTATTGATTCATTAACCTGTGCTGTGCCTTGCCTTTCTCCCACACCTGGCTGTCTCTTACACACACACACACAAAAAAAATATATGTATTAACAATGTAAGTGACCCCCCCTAATTTTTAAGCATTATATTTTAATATTGAATTTTCCCCCCACCCACCCCAACCACCCATAACCTTTTACTAGCACATCTATTAAATGTAAGTTTTAACTGTTACTAGCAGTTTCAAGGACAGCATTTCGATCCCTGAAGACAAAGAGTAGTGAGTTTGTTTTATAGCTGCTTTTAGCAACATTTCATCTATACTCAACCCAAAAAAGTCAAGGACCACCGAAATTTTCAATATTTTAGTATCCAATAGTTCCCATTATGATCCATGTAATACCTAAATAATGAATATTAGGGTGGTCCCTAACTTTTGTTGTTGAGTATATATCACAATGGAGCATACCAGAAATTGGCTTCACACATTGTACCCAAGTGGGGAATCGATTCAATCGAACTCAGGTCTTCTGTGTGACAAGGAAAAGCTACCCCACTTCCCTGCTAACAAAGATATGTTGATAGTAGGTAATACTCCTGTATAAGTTGAAATGACTTTTCCTTCTTGATTGCATTTTTGTAGAGAGATGAGTAAAAAGATCTACTTCTGTGGCAGCATCAGTGGTGGTCGACAGGATGTTGACCTCTATGCCCGCATCATCACCCAACTGAAGGCATATGGCCCTGTGCTTACTGAGCATGTGGGAAAGAAGGACGTTTTTACGTGTAAGTATTTATTTAGCAACAGGATTGCCAATTGCCGGGGGTATTTAATTTCTCATCCCTGAAACTATTTCTGCGTCTTCAGCTTCCAGCTGTGTGATTTATATAAGAAACAATGTCATACATATGGTATAGCTAGTCAAATAATAAGTCAAAATCCTGGCAAACAAATTGGAGCATTGTTAGTGGAAAACAGTATTCTTTTCATAAAATTAAAAACAGTGATTTGATTGAATTGTGATTGGACATTACAAAATATGGAAAATGTTACTGTGCAAACATTAATGTTGCAACAGGATATTGCAAATTGCCAATGGTATAAAATTTCATATTCCTAAAACTATTTGATTTCAAGTTGTGTGATTTGTATAAGATAGTGTTACTAGTCAAAAACATGGCAAACAATAGGTGTACTGTATTGTATGTGGAAAACAGTGTCCTTTTCATGGCTACAATTAAAAACAATAAGGATTGTATTGTGATTAGACATTACATTGTTACAAAATAAAGAACATTTACAGTATGGTAGATATGGCCGTATATTCCCCAGTGATGTAATAGTATTGTATAAATAAAGTGCCTATAAGCACTGATACACCACATTGACATCCTTTCTTTCAGCATGGTAGATATGGCCGTATATTCCCCAGTGATGTAATGGTAATATACATGTATAAATGAAATGCCTTTAAGTATTAATACACCCTACGCAATTGTGATGATCAGCATCATAAGTATTAACAACCCCAAGCTGTTTGTGAGGCACCACAAGGTTAACAAATTATGAAAAATATTTATTTTAAATTATTGATGGAGGAGGTGATGCTGTGTGAGAGGTCATGTGGTACATTAGAGTTGCAGTTGCGTTTACTTTATAGTCTTGAATACAAGGAAATAAAACAAAACTAACTATTTAACCAGAAGGAAATAAAACAAAAAACTAAAATCTTCTCTCCCTAACCAGCAAATATAAGTGAGTTTTGAAGAAAATCATGAGAAACAAGAATGTTATATAAATGGTCTCAAATACTTGTGCGATGAATGCAAACATGTGAAATCCTGTGCTTTACAAGCTATTTTCATCATCATCATCATCTTAGTCACCCCGGAAGTTTACTAGTTTTCAAAACTAAGTGCCAGGAGCGATGAGCTTGGGAAGAAATAGTTCAAGTTTGATTTTTTAGAGCTTACATAAATTGGGGAACTCAAAATCTTTATTATCATCATCATCATCGGGGCGGTTGGGTAGCCTAGTGGTTAAAGCATTCGTTTGTCACGCAGAAGACCCAGGTTCGATTCCCCACATGGGTACAATGTGTGAAGCCGATTTCTGCTGGAATATTGCTAAAAACAGCATAAAACCAAAACTCACTCACTCACTCATTTTGACACTTCTTGAAATGGTTGTGTGTTTCAGTAGAAGAAAAAAACAGTGCAAAGGAAATCCATGATCGGGATGTTGCCTGGTTGGAGGAATGTGATGGTATGTCTTTTACTCTTCACAGACTTTGGAAATAAAATCAACTCTTGCAATTATTTAACATTTTTTGTCTTCTGCATCTATATCAAGAAATAAATTAAAAACACTACGAATGTGTTTGTTGTTTTTTCAAAGTATTATTATTGAATCAATACTATCTTATGATTTCTGATTCATTTTGTTAGTTGTTGTGGCGGAGGTGACACAGCCGTCACATGGCGTGGGCTATGAGGTCGGGAGAGCTGTAGCCTTGAAGAAGCCAGTTTTGCTGCTTTACCGTCCAGATGTTGGCAAAAGTAGGTTGAATTAGCCATACTAAATATCTTATTCATGATCAGACCACCTCTGTGGTGTAGTGGTTAGAGCGTCCGCCCGGAGAGCGGAAGGTCGCGGGTTCGATCCCCGACCGCGTCATACCAAAAGACGTTAAAATATGGTACTTGTTGGTCCCTGCCTGGCGCTCGGCATTAATGGGTACAACAAGGACTGGTCGGCTCGGAGTCAGTATAATGTGTCTGAGTGGGGTATTCATGCTTCACTGCGGCATGGTATCTCAGTGGGCTAGCACTATAAAACCGGCTTCAGTCTGGGCTAGTACAAGCAGCCGCACATACCCATACACACGCATACGCGTCGTCATATGAGCGAAATATTCTCAAGCACGACGTTAAACCCAATTTCACCTCACCTCACCTCACCTCACCATTCATATGCAAGTCATCAAAGTTGGTGGCAGCAGTGGGTGTGACACAAGGAATACATGTTGTAGTTCAGAATACACACAAGTCTTGAACCTCTAGATGTTGACTTATGTTCTTGCTGTGAGGTTTGGTGCAGTTATGTCCCCTTGTATGCTACTTCACTTACAGACCGTTTGATTTCATTGAGACCGATGAATTACTCACTAACACAAAATCTAATAATTGCAACAAAACCACATTTTGCACAGTCACATGAAATCGACGGACCAACTCTGATGATTTGTCTCATAAGTTTGGACACCCGAATAAAAATGTTGTTTAACAAACAATCATTATTTTGTTGCCACTTTTTGCTATTTCTTACGAGGGAGGACCACCTGCTGGTAGAACAGCCAGATGTGCGAGTTGTTCGTGTAGAATTGAAATTTCACTGCACACGCTTGTTGATTACCTGGCTGTTCTACCTCTCGTAAGAAATAGTGAAAAGTGACAATATAATGATCGTTAGTTAAACAACATTTTCATTCGGGTGTCCAAAATTATGAGACAAATCATCAGAGTTGGTCTGTCGATTTCATGTGACTGTGCAAAATGTGGTTTTGTTGCAATTATTAGATTTTGTGTTCGTGAGTAATTCATCGGTCTCAAATGAAATCAGACGGTCTGTAAGTGAAGTAGCATTAAGCACTTGCTGTTTAGTTCAAGTGCTGGTTTATTTAAAGTGCTGGTTCATTTCCAGCGCTGTTTGTTTCAAGTGTTGCTTTCGTTCAACTGCTGGTATGTTTCGAATACTTGGTTAGAGGTGTGGTGTATCATTTCTCCAGGAGTGTCATGCATGATGAAGGGAGCGGAAGACGACAGAAATGTCATATACAAGGAATATGTCGAGGCACAGGTTCCAGAAATCCTGAAGGAGTTCTTTGGATAAGAAAAGGTCTGTAGTATCAAAGGAAATAACTCAAATCAAATCAAATCACTGCCATCATAGCATAAATTACAGATTCTTCCTGACACCTGCTCTCTACAAACTTATTAAAAGAAATCATTTTTTTATTATTATCAAGAAATTTCAAATAATATATGTGCAAATAGTTAAATGTGACCCCTGAAATGGGCTTCACACATTTTACCTACATTGAGAATAGAACCCTGGTCTTCAGCATGATGAATGGACGCTTTAACCATTAGGCTACCCCACCGCCCCTTAAATGCATCATGCTTACTGTGTGGAACCAACTCAATACAGTAGGTTCGCCCGGGTTCGATTCCCCACATGGGCACAATGTGTGAAGCCCATTTCTAGTGTCCCCCACCGTGATGTTGCTGGAATATTGCTAAAAGCGGCGTAAAAATCAAACTCAGTCAGTCCTAACACTATCACACTTTGGTCTTACAAACTCCAATCATGACAGGGGCAGTGGGGTAGCCTTGTGGTTAAAGCGTTCGCTTGTCACATGGGTACAATGTGTGAAGCCTCTTTCTGGTGTTCTCTGCCTTGAAATTGCTGGAATATTGTTAAAAGCGGTGTAAAACTAAACTCACTCATTCACTCCAGTCAAGACAAGTTTTAAGCAGTTTCAATAAATTTCATAATTGGAATCAATTGTTCAGACTGCCATACAGCTGGACTATTGCGGGGTGTGGCTAACGAGCTGCCTATGGCGCCAGGCTAGTGATCCAGCAAGCTTGAGGTGACGGGATTGAGCCCACCAGTGACCGGGTGTAAAAAACCTTGGAGTCGAGTTTGTTTGCAGACTCTTTCAGTGTTGTCACATCCCTTAGTGTACACTACACAACCCTGTGCACTTAATAGAACCCATGAATCCGTTGCTAAATGACCAGATGGTGGCCACATGAATGAGTGCAAACACGTAGTTGTGGATATATGCAGTGAAACTTGGACAAAGTACTCCGACTATGTGCCCCAGTCCACCCAGCTATCAATGGGTACTTTGTAAGGATAGGAAAGCCACAATAACTCAGTGACAATAACCTAGTGACTGCAAGATTTGTATGCTTCCCAGGGAGTTGAGATTGATAATACGATGACATCCACTGATCGAGGGGAAAAACAAAGCGCCTTTGAGCAGCTGAGCTGGATATTGGCACTACACAAATATTAGCCTAATAATATTTTTGAGTGCAGCATTAAACAACAAACAAACAAACAAAACAATTGTTCATGTGAAAAATCAAAACACATAAAAGAAAATATGCTTGTTAATTCATATGAATGTATGTTTATTTTGTTTCAGATAATATTTCGAATCCCATTGTGTAGTTGCTGACCAAAACCTGATGTACTGAGATGCTGCACATGGAGATTTGGGCCTAGATTTTCGAAGCTCTCTCAGTGCTAAGATAGTCGTAAGTTAATGTTAATGAATAGCACTTACGACTATCTTAGCGCTAAGAGAGCTTCAAAAATCTAGGTCTTGGTTTGTTGTTTAACACAGCACTCAGCAATATTCCAGCTATATGGCAGCGGTCTGTAAATAATCAAGTCTGGACCAGACAATCTGGTGATCAACTCCGTTAGCATCGTTCTACGCAATTGGGATACGATGACATCTGTCGACCAAGTCAGCGAACCTGACCACCTGATCTTATTAGTGGCCTTTTAACGACACGTATTGCGCAAAAACAACTCATCACTTCGAAAGATGACATGTCCTACAAGAAATAGATCTTTGTATTTTGTCCTGAAACACATCTGGCTGATCTTGTTACTAATATTTTGTATGTAAACACATATGAAGCAAAATTTAAAATCTTAAAATATTACACATATTTTAGAACTACACTTTTTTTAAAGAAATACTCCATGCACAATTTTTAAACTGTATGAAGTATAGTGTATCCAAAGTGGTATCAAAGGGTGATACAGTCATAAAAAAATTAAATTATTTTAGAAATAAATAATAATTTAATAACTCCATTCTGGAAGTATTCATTAACTTGTGATCTGGAACACAACTTTCATTGTGAACTGCCTTATTCTTTTCATTGCACAGGTAAAGCTCAAAAGATAACTTGAGATAGATAGAGATAGATCTTTACACTTTTGTCTTGAAATATTTTCTATGTAAACACGTAAGAAGAAAAATTGAAAATATTATAAAATTACAGAAATGTTTAAAGCACACATTCTCAAAAACATATATGTTAAATTTGTTGAAATTGTATGAAGTATAGTGTATGGCATCCAAACGGAATTATAGTCATAAAACATTAAAATATTTTGGAGTGGCCTAACAATAGAAAATATTTCAATAACAAAATTATCTGAAATAGTCATGAATACATGAAAGTTCTAAATGTCTTTCAAGAACTGAAATATTCATGTGTCTCTGAATACTGCCATAACAATATTCATCACCTACCATTTTATGTGCATTTGTTGTTGTTTTTAATGGAACTTGTTATACACTGATCTTCAACATGTTTGTGAAATGTGCGTCAGATGAATTTCAAGTGTGTGCGAAGAGAATAGGAGTGGAGGAAAAGAACTATTTAAGTATCTGCACGTGTATAATTGTTGTCATTCGTATTGTTCATCCACTGATATTTTGAGTTTATTTTTACTGTTTTTAAGTGAATAAAAGCTTCATGGAAAAGAAGGATATTATGTCTTCTCTTAGTTAAGAAAAAGGATAATGAGGAAAAAGATATTGTGCATATAATATTAACAGACTCTCTCATGATTTGTTTTTGTTTGTTGTTTGTTGTTTAACATCACATTCGGCAATATTCCAGCTATATGGCAGCGGTCTGTAAATAATTGAGTCTGGACTTAACCATCCAGTGATCAACAGCATGAGCATCGATCTACACAATTGGGATATGATGACATGTGTCAACCAAAGCCAGTGAGCCTGACCACGAGATCGTTAGTCGCCTCTTGCAACAAGCACGAGTTGCTGAAGACCAATTCTAACCCAGATCTTCACAGGTGGAAAGTAACATTCCACCATGAACTTGTAAAAGTATAACCAGAGTTACTCTTACATCTACAATACACACGGACAGACATCCTTTGTTGAAAATCTGTAGGCATTTTACATTCATAGCTTTAGTCATAATTGAAGATGAAATAACGTGCAAAACATAATATTGGGATATTGACAGTTGTTGTCTGTTGCAACTACTCATGTTAAAGTATTAGTATTGTGGACTAGTATTTTGTCCTTGGCCCATGAATCACAAAATAAGTTCGTTCATGAATCTATTTTATTCAAATATTTGATAATGATGCATTTACAGTTCAACAATACTTCAAGACAACTGTACAACAGTAGTATGTGGTCTAGTGTTAGATTAGGTATTATGATAGAGCAAATATGATTTAAATAATCAAATATGTTTGCCATGACATAAATGTTCTTTTAACAACCAAATCACTCCTTGTCTTAACAATGCTGTCTGTTACAGAAAATTCAATAGTCCTGCTTGAAATGTTAGAGTTATAATAAATGTGCCATTTTATGAAAAAACCCATCTATTCTTAGGCATAATATGACAACAACATAATGGGGGTTATGGGCGGAAATCTTTCCATGTACAATGTGAATCTCCTTTCCCCCCTCGCCCATTTAAAGTACTGAGGGGAACCCCCTACACGTGTACAAAATCAGTGACACCCCACCCACCCTACTTCATATGAATAAACTCGTATTCCTTCGTATAGTGCAAAGTCTAGTTATATGCTGAACTACACCCACTCCTAATTTTTAAGCATTTTGTAATATAAATTGCCCCCCTCCCCCGTTCATGTATTCAAAATTGATGACCCCCCTCCCCAGAACAAAATGGGTGGACACGCACAATTCAAAATCATCATCACCCCTCCCCCTCCCTTGCCATTATGTTGTAATCATCAAATAATTTTTCAATTAGAAACAAAATATGGACAACATAAGTCTGTTTACACCACAATCATCTGGATATTAAAAAATAGTATTCCGCACCCGCCTGACACAGGTGGAAGTTTCGACTGGTGGTTAGGATAAGCAGGGATATCTACAGCAATCTACGTCTTCTATTCTCCCTGGGATAAGAGAGCTTTGCGAACGGTTTGTCACTGCGAGGAGCTCGTCTAAGGGTGGGTAACTCTTTCTCTTACTCGTTCCTCCCCAATCGCGCTCTCCTGAAACGAAGGGCAAAAGTTTCTTTGACAACAAGACAACAAAGCTGTGATGGATATACCGTCAGCACCGAACAAGTTCTTTTCTTGACCCGACGTGTTGTGCAGAGTTCTTGAACTCTCCAAGATTAAATAAAGGTTAGAAATTGTTAATGAATTTCAGCGACCGAATGAATATATGTGGACATAAATTCTGCTAAATTGACAAACTTACGGAAGCACCTGAACACTGTCTGAAATTTCGTGAAAATTGATAAAGACATGTGATACGACATAGAAACTATGTATATACTTGTTTCAGTGGCATTTAGACTCTGATATGATGAACAGGAACGATTTTTTATGGATAGACAACTTCTATGTATGTGACGTTTCGGTGCAGAATGCTAACACCGTTATCAAGCGAGCAATTCAAGCATCTACACCGAAATATGCTCCTCTTGACTGGTTCGTGACCTCTTCTGTGCCACCCGTATGAGCAATTGATAGTATACGTATAGATTGATCAACAAAGATGAAATCCTTTTAACTCGATAATATTTCCATCTTCATTATTATGATAAAAAATGAAAACATTTTGAAGTTTAATCATCTACTAGTGGTAAAAAATGTTAGGGCGAAAAATATCAATGTGCTTCTTTATATTTTGTCTTATAATCCTGATAAGTTTATTGTCATATTTATATGCATTTTGAAACTTAATAGAAACAGACAGTCTGCTTATACTTATAGTGAATTTATAACATGGCTGTAATATCTAGACATTTTATAGATTGCCAACGTGAATCATATTTCACACTAATGCCAAAAGTGCGACCAAGTGTATGTTGTCTGATTCCTTACACATTAATTGCATGATGTTTGCCATTCTTTAGTTAGCCAAGAATGAGCAATCAATCAACGTATTGGCGGTTACTAGTAATCCTTTGAAGGAAGGACATTGTGCCAAATGGTAACCTTTGTCGGGTAATCTGTGTGGTGTTACCTCTGATTATACCTGTCATACATTCATTAACTGACCATCAAGTGAATGATGACAAATAACATGTAGGTTTATACCAACAAACACGGGTTAAAGCAAGGGAGTAGTAGTAATCGCTGTATTGCATGCAATTTTAATTGCCTGAAAAAAACCTTATGGGCCAACCATCCAGGCATTACAAAATCCGAAAAGTCTACATTGCTGGGATACTTTTTTACATTCAAACAAGAACTGCTGGGGATATTTTCAGATAATGGCATCTGATGGGCATCCACCCTTTCAAATGTCCCACTTTTTAGGTTGAAGAAATTCTGCCAAGGTGGACAGTAGCCCAGTCCCCGTGTCCGTCACGGTCGAGGGAGCAAGTAATGACCAAATAGTAGCTAGGTCCCGTAATTAGACTGTTGGCGAGAAACATTAATCGCTCTGGATTAATGCCCCTTTAAATATGGTTAGTCACATGGGTTCCAGATTGCAGACTCCCTTAAGAGCACCCCAACGGACCTTTTACAATCCCACTGTACTCATGACAAATTAGCTGAGGTGAAATAGAATATCATATTGCCAAGCAGAAAAAAATGTGTGTTCCTAGTGTGATTGGGTGTAATTACAAGATAGTGATTGGATGTTACTGCAAAGAAATTTTCAAAGATCACCTGAAGATAATTGTAAAGCATGGCTGAGTTTGATTGGATTTGCTGGCCTTGTTGTTTAACGCTGTATGTAGATTCCTGCTTGACTTCCCAATTTCTAAAATGCCACGAAAAGAAGCTTCTTCTTCTGGTTGTGGACTAATATTCCCTTTCTTTCAGGAAAAATGGTTTCAGTAAAAAAAAATTCTCATGTTTAGCCAAGTAACCAACAATTCTACATTTTCTGGTCTTGCTGATTTTTACTGTTTTGCAATGTGCACAGTGTTTGAAAATAAGCATAAATGTCAAGGGTTTTATTTAAACCTAATATTACAAGCTAAAAATGTTTAGGAGTCCATATAATAAAATGTTGCAGCAAACCCTCATAGACCCAAGGATACCCACTTAACTGGTTTAGTCATAAACTTTGTTATATCTAAGCAGGACAAAAAATAATCTGAAATGTTCAGTACTTGACCAAATAGTGATAACATGTATCAGGGGTTCAAAAATCCCATCGCCCGATGCCCTGAACCAGCGAGTTTTCATTTCAGGTGTTCAAATAATGGTATCTTACTTGTCCGTGGGCTACCAGATTATTTCTGCAATGCTTACAGTTTCAAACTGCAAATGTGGCACGATACGAGAACAGTGTTTCAAGTGTGCCACAAGTCAAGTCATGCATAAAGCCTGCTAAGGCCAGACCAATTTTATTTCTTGTTTTACGGATCAGCCGGTCGTATTTTTTCAAGAATAAGAAAAAAATAAAAATCAATTTTCCCCACTCAAAAAATAAAGTCCTAATGTTAATGTGATATTAGTGAAATACTCTTGAAATCAGTGTGAAACCTAAACTCACTCAACTTATTTTTAGTTGATATAAACAAGCCAAAAGAGTTAACATGGAAACTCATGTGGGTTTTTTGCTTTGACTGGTGATTTTTAAAACTTTTTCTTTCCCTCCTGCCTTTAGGTTTCCTGAGGAAACAAATCCGTAAAATAAGAAATAAAATTGGTCTGGCCTAAAGACGAATTCTACCATGACATCAGTAAACACTGGATTGTGATTGGTTAATTAAAGTCATTCAGAGGTATATAATCACGTTATACAGGTCTCTGTTTTCCGTGCGCAATCATACATGGTTTACGGTAATGCCGGTAATGCACTATTTTTGTCTGCCCACTAACATGGCGGACACCAAACAACCTACCGATGCATCGATAAATTACGGCGATTTTACTGTCGGAAATTACACATATGTCTTTAAAGATGGATTTAGCGATGACGGGCTCGACTCACTACTTGCTTAAATCACAGCAATAGGTGTTTATACATACAAAAGTACTTCGAAAGCATGGAAACAAATATTCAGTCGAACAAGATCAAAACATCGTCTGCTTTCCGAATAAAAATTCAGCAAAAACAAATATGTTTACGTTGATTCTATGTTATGTCAGAATAGATCCAGCAATAGACTGCTACATAATTTCCCGTGTTAAATTTATTATCAGCTTTCGTCAACGATATCGCCACTGGATATCGCCGGTAACGGAGGATGCATTAACATCGAACGCCGAAGAAATTTTAATGCCTTCCGTCGACATAAATAAACAGTTGGGTTATCAATTCAAACAAAATGATAATTTTGAAATTTGTACTGTTTCAAATTTAGCGGTAGTAAAACACAATTACAGTATCTGCAAACCGTTCTGTTTAGCCCAACATATTTTTTTCTAAAAGTATAATATCGTTGAAAAAGTTATTTAGCTTAGTCATGATCCCTCTTATCCACTACACTACTTGATCTAAAGTAGTCTATTAAAGTATAATTAATTACCTTACCGTGTTTATGCCAGAGGTACACCCTCATGTCCTGATCCATCCTTTCGGAAATATCACCACAAATCTGTCTCTTTGTCAACAGACTCGCTGAACATGCCAGCTAATCCGATTCAATTTGAATTCACTACACTTTGAAGCCACTAGGTCAGAAAACACTTTCCAAAGTGTAGAAAATAATATCCGTAGAGAATCGAATTTGAGCACAAAGTACACACATGAGTGTGTAAGAGTCATCACAGCTGTCGCGACGCAGGCGTAGAGGTGCGTGAAATCGTCAAGTTGACAGGGCTTAAAAATTCAACAGTATCTAAATTTGGTACAACACGGACACCTCGTTACAGCAAAAGCCTCCACTCTTAAATTTTGTACCAGTACCAGTAATTAGATATCAGCGACTATCTCAGTCATACAATCAGGTTTACCTTGCGCCAAACTGTCAGAGGCTCTCCTGTCATCTTTCCAAATTTGCACGTAAATGTAAACAATGACTTCGAGAAAAGGTCAAGGCCATGAGGTTGCTGCCATTATTCTGGTGGGGTAAGGGTCTACTGTGGAATTTTCAAATGTGAACCAAGCTTTTTATACTTATTTGATATATGTTTTCCAACTTATCAGTTAATGATTGGTGATTGATGCATTGAAAAAACAAAGCGTGATTTGTTATTACTGAATCTGGAGTTTGTTAGTCATTGACGCTTTGCCACCAATCACCCGTTTGGCGATGCCACTTGAGATTGGAATGCGAGGCCGCTTCACGTATTGACTCGTAACCAAAAAAAAGAGCTCCACCTGAAATTGTTCATCAAATTGTCATGGTAGAATGGAGATAAACCTACTGTGTTGGAAAATCAGAGGTATATAGCGAAATTATAATAGCTCTAAATTGTTCATTTTAAAACCTCACGCCACGCTGCGTTGGTTTTAAATGAAATTTAAGCTATTATAATTTCGCTATATACCTCTGATTTTCCCACACAGTAGGTTTATCTCCATTCTACCATGACAATTTGATGAACAATAACGAAATTATAATAGCTCTAAATTGTTCATTTAAAACCTCACGCTACGCGTTCGGTTTTAAATGAAATTTAGAGCTAATATAATTTCGTTATATACCTCAGATTTTCCCACACAGTAGGTTTATCTCCTAATTCTAGTAATCATTTTTGTATTGGTTTAAATTACTGTTCTACAATATGAAAGTCAGAAACTGTTCTATATAAAAAAAACTGACAACTATTACCTTTAAAGCAGAAATAAAAAGTCCAGTGAACATTAACATCAAATCCCTTTTTGATTTATTCTTTCCTAATAACATCATCACAATTATGTCATAAAAATCAGGGCAAGTGGAAAATTAGTCAGGGCAAGTAACTTTCTTAAAGTCACTTGCCCTTATGGCAAGTGGCGTTTAAATTTTTTTTTAACCCCTGCATGTATAAATAAGAACAGCCTTGAAAATTAATGAAATTCCACAAGCCTCTTGGATACCAATCATGTTAGACAAGCTCTGACCCAGGCTAGTTGGACAGTGCCTCTATCCTTGTGTCTTAGGTTGAAGGGTGTCTGATTTTACAAATTCATTTTTCATTGATGCCTTAAACAGTTTGTTTTTTTCCGAAATAGGAATATATAAATTATAATACTTCTTGACTCAAGCTTTTAGAACATTTAGAGGAAAATGTAGTGATTAATGGATTGTGGGCTGATGTGACTTTTCAGATGCCCAAGAAAGGTAAGGGAAAGGGGAAGGGGAAAGGAAAAGGCAAGGGAAAGAAAGGGCGTAGTCGTCTGAGCGAGACGGATGATGTGGTGATGAAGAAGCTCCTCAAGTGCTACGAGCGGAACTGTGCCCTCACAGACTCGCAGATGTGCCCCGGGATCAAGGCTGCAATCAAGGCGGCCATGGAGGGGGAAAAGCTGCTCACCAGGGTAAGTTGTTTTTCACATATTCAATGCCATATTCTAGCGTATTAGTGGGCTGTAAATAATTGAGTCTGAACAGACAATCATGCGATTGATATTATGAGCATTAATCCACTTGTTGCATCATTCTGGACTCATATCAGACTCATATTTTTTTGTGTACATTACTGATGTAATTAAGGATAAGATATATTAATGAATCTGTACTAGATTATGAATTTCTTTGCTACAATTAGAAACATCTTTGTATAGGTTGATAGGGATGTTGGAATCTACACCGAAATATATTTAAAAACATAATTATAGCATATAATATATACAGAAGTTGTTCATCTATGTATTTTACTCAAGCTTCTATTATCGACCCTGGGCGTGGTGTTTCTTCCCGAGAAACCTGTTTATTCACGAATGTCAAGTAACCACCACGCTGGTGATTTTACGGGACGCTTTAATCACCCCGCGCCGTGTTTGCACCCAATCGAGTTGGTTCCACGGTGATTGAATTAATTAGGGTCAAGCGCTTCAGTTAGTACCGCGGAGCGCACCCGTCTCGCGTACACGAGACGATAGGCTGTCTCACGTACACGTTACGTCTCTGGCTGATTATAAGAAAGTGTTTAGTTTAACTTTCATTGATGTTTGAAGTAGTTGTTGTTTACTTCTTCTTGGTCTGTCTCAACAAATTGTATAATTCATTGTATAGTTATAATAGGTGCCTCAATATGACCAACTGATGCAGATTTTACTGTTGTTCCGTAAGCTGATGTGGTTGTTGTTGTCAACAGTTCATCCTAGAGTCGATGCCGCTGGAACAAGACGGGGACCTGCCGGTGCTGCTAGAACCATTCCTGGCAACGATCAGACAGGAGCGTTACATCCTCATCAAAGACCTCCATATCTGGGATTACCCCTTGTCTTATGAGAATGTGGCCACACTGGTATGTGCACATTTAGAGGTTGTTATTGACTGTTGCTGAGAGACTTCCTGACAATATGGACACACTGATATATGTATGGTTTGATGCACTTTTAAAGGTTGTCATTGAGTGCTACGGAGAGACTTCCTGAAAATGTAGACACACTGATATATGTATAGTATGCTGCCCATTTAGAGGTTGTCAGTGAATGCTACTGAGAGACTTCCTGACAATGTAGACACACTTATATATGCATAGTAAGCTGCCCATTTAGAGGTTGTCATTGAATGCTACTGAAAGACTTCCTGACATGTAGACACACTGATATATGTATAGTATGCTGCCCATTTAGAGGTTGTCAGTGAATGCTACTGAGAGACTTCCTGACAATGTAGACACACTGATATATGTATAGTATGCTGCCCATTTAGAGGTTGTCATTGAATGCTACTGAGAGACTTCCTAACAATGTAGACACACTGATATATGTATAGTATGCTGCCCATTTAGAGGTTGTCAGTGAATGCTACTGAGAGACTTCCTGACAATGTAGACACACTTATATATGCATAGTAAGCTGCCCATTTAGAGGTTGTCATTGAATGCTACTGAAAGACTTCCTGACATGTAGACACACTGATATATGTATAGTATGCTGCCCATTTAGAGGTTGTCAGTGAATGCTACTGAGAGACTTCCTGACAATGTAGACACACTGATATATGTATAGTATGCTGCCCATTTAGAGGATGTCATTGAATGCTACTGAGAGACTTGCTAACAATGTAGACAAACTGATATGTGTATAGTATGCTGCCCATTTAGAGGTTGTCAGTGAATGCTACTGAGAGACTTCCTGACAATGTAGACACACTTATATATGCATAGTATGCTGCCCATTTAGAGGATGTCAGTGAATGCTACTGAGAGACTTGCTAACAATGTAGACACACTTATATATGCTAGTATGCTGCCCATTTAGAGATTGTCATTGAATGCTACTGAGAGACTTCCTGAAAATGTAGACACACTGATATATGCATAGTATGCTGCCCATTTAGAGGTTGTCAGTGAATGCTACTGAGAGACTTCCTGACAATGTAGGCACACTGATATATGTATAGTATGCTGCCCATTTAGAGGTTGTCATTGAGTGCTACTGATAGGCTTCCAGACAACATGGCCACACTGGCATGTTCATATTTGTTTAACTTTTAGAGGTTGTCATTGAGCGTTACTGGGAGCCTTCCAGATAAAATGGCCATCATTTATCTATGCACATTCTGCCACTGGTTGCCACTGAGTGCTGCTGTGATAATTCCAGACATGGCCACAATGGCATGTGCATATCATTTTAACTTTCAGAGGTTGTCATTGAGTGCTACTGAGAGACTTCCAGGAAACATTGCCAAACTGGCTTCTGCATAGGTTGCTGGACCTTAAGAGGTTGTCATTGAGTGCTGCCATTGGACTTCTCTGTGGTTGTATGGATGGGTGTGGTGTACTGATTAGGCCCTGTGGTTGTATGAATGGGTGTGGTGTACTGATTAGGCCCTGTGGTTGTATGAATGGGTGTGGTGTATTGATAAGGCCCTGTGGTGTGGTGTATTGATAAGGCCCTGTGGTTGCATGAATGGGTGTGGCGTATTGATTAGGCCCTGTGGTTGCATGAATGGGTGTGGTGTATTGATTAGGCCCTGTGGTTGTATGAATGGGTGTGGTGGTACTGATTAGGCCCTGTGGTTGCATGAATGGGTGTGGTGTATTGATTAGGCCCTGTGGTTGCATGAATGGGTGTGGTGTATTGATTAGGCCCTGTGGTTGTATGAATGGGTGTGGTGTATTGATTAGGCCCTGTGGTTGTATGAATGGGTGTGATGTATTGATTAGGCCCTGTGGTTGTATGAATGGGTGTGGTGTATTGATTAGGCCCTGTGGTTGTATGGATGGGTGTGGTGTATTGATTAGGCCCTGTGGTTGCATGAATGGGTGTGGTGTATTGATTAGGCCCTGTGGTTGTATGGATGATTAGGCCCTGTGGTTGTATGGATGGGTGTGGTGTACTGATTAGGCCCTGTGGTTGTATGAATGGGTGTGGTGTATTGATTAGGCCCTGTGGTTGCATGAATGGGTGTGGTGTATTGATTAGGCCCTGTGGTTGCATGAATGAGTGTGGTGTATTGATTAGGCCCTGTGGTTGTATGAATGGGTGTGGTGTACTGATTAGGCCCTGTGGTTGTATGAATGGGTGTGGTGTACTGATTAGGCCCTGTAGTTGTATGAATGGGTGTGGTGGTACTGATTAGGCCCTGTGGTGATGTGGGCATCTATGCAAGCTGTGATGATGATGTGTTTATGTTCCAGTCCCTGCTGATGGAGAAACCTGCATACCTTCTGAGACAGCTGGAGATGCGGGACTGTCTGCTGGAGGCCAACTCCATCAACAGATTTTCAAGGTAAGCCCCTAAATATGTTGTCTTACTCTACCTCACAAACCCCACTGAGCCATCAAAAGCAGTAACAACAACAACAACAACAACTTTGAATACCCTATGCTGTCACTGTACATAATGGGACATTGTATAAAATGTAAGTGTAATAATAATCTGTTTACGGTATATAGCTTCTTTGAGTGGCATTTTAGAAGTTGGGAAGTACAATATTGAACAAACTTTATGGATAACAACTTTTTATTTTCTGAGTGTGACAAGGGTACAAGAATCTGTATCGAAATGTCGCACTCACGAAATAAATGAATTGCTATTCAATATATTCATAAAGTTTGTTCAATATTGGGGGCAGTGGGGTAGCCTAGTGGTTAAAGCGTTGGCTCGTCACGCCGAAGACCCGGGTTTGAATCCCCACATGGGTACAACATGTGAAGCCCATTTCTGGTGTCCCCCGCCGTGATGTTGCTGGAATATTGCTAGAAGCGGCGTAAAGCCAAACTCAGTCAGTTCAATATTGTTTATACATGTATAGCATTGCAGGTTTATCAAAGGCAATTGCACATTATTGTTTATACTCCATTCAAATGATCAGTGGTACTTGTTGGTCCCTGCCTGGCGCTCGGCATTAATGGGTACAACAAGGACTGGTCGGCTCGGAGTCAGTATACTGTGTCTGAGTGGGGTATTCATGCTTCACTGCGGCATGGTATCTCAGTGAGCTAGCACTATAAAACCAGCTTCAGTCTGGGCTAGTACAAGCAGCTGCACATACACATACACACGCATGCACGTCGTCATATGAGCGAAATATTCTCAAGCACGACGTTAAACCCAATTTCACCTCGCCTCACCTCAAATGATCAGTGTACAGTTTATTTTCATTTTTAGCTCCTTGGGGAATATACCCGTGAAGCACTACAAGGATAAGTCACATTACAATCTTATTCCATATGGAACCCATTCACAACTTTACTTGCTAAAGGAGGCAACACATGTGGTACCAGTGCTTCACTGTTGGGCAGGACAGGAGCTCCAGAAACCATCATAAGAACCCTCGTCAGAAACTCTTACATCTTTCTTGCTTTTCAGAATCTTCCGGGCATGTGACACATTGACTATTCTGAATCTCGACTACAACGAGTTTGGTGACGAGGGTTGTCAGTATTTGTGTCGAGGTCTGGATGGGAACGTCACGATGTTGTCTCTCAGTCTGTGCTACTGTGACCTGGGGAAGGAGAGTGGCCGCTATCTTGGACATATCCTCTCCACGACAGCTGTAAGGTGGGTAAAATACATCATATTTCATTATTAAACCAGTCTTCGGTTGAACAGACTGACTGTGTACTCAGATTGTGAAGAGCAAACGTCTTCCCTACCCAGCAACAACACAAGTATACAGTCGGCATTGGAGTTTCTGCTTCACTTGTTGTGCTAGTGGCGTTCATTATCCCCTGCAACACGTGTTGCGGGGGGGTATTAAAATGGACTCTGTCCATGCGTGCGTGCGTCCGTCCGTCCGTCCGTACACATTTATCTTTTCCGGAGCATAACTCTAAAACCGTTCAATATTTCTTCACCAAACTTGGCACATACATGGATCTGGTGGTGTACTTGTGCCTTTTGGTAGTTTTGGAATTCTGAATAAAATATTTTTGGCATTTCCGTGGCAACAAGTTTGACTAAAACTGAAATTAGTGGTAGTGCTCTTTTCTGGAGCAGAACTCTAAAACCCGCTCAATGTTTCTTCACCAAACTTAGCACATACATAGATCTGGTGGTGTACTGGTGCCTTTTGGTAGTTTTGGAATTCTGAATAAAATATTTTTGGCGTTTCCATGGCAACAAGTTCGACTTAGACTGAAATTGGTGGTTGTGCTCTTTTCCGGAGCAGAACTCTAAAACCGTTCAATGTTTCTTCACCAAACTTGACACATAGATTGGTCTGGTGGTGTACTAGTGCCTTTTGGTAGTTTTGGAATTCTGAATAAAATATTGTTGGCATTTCCATGGCAACAAGTTTGACTTAGACTGAAATTTGTGATAGTGCTCCTTTCTGGAGCAGAACTTTAAAAACCTTTCAATACTCTCCTTCCACTTTTCTATATACACACCTAAATATTTGACATAATCATAACTCGTAGACATAATCATGAAGAGTATTTTGCCATTGCGGGGGATATTGATGACTTTGTCTTCTTGTTTAAGCTTTAAAATCAGTTTGTCAAAATTTTATTTGCTTTTGTTTGTTGTTAGTTTTAGGGTAATGTCATTCTCTTCCCACAGAGGTTACTTGTCATATCTTCCTACGACCCTCTGTTCTAATATGGCCCTTTCATGGTGCGAGTGTTCAGGATTCGTCATTGGTTGCAATCAGATTTAGTTGTGCAATCTGCGACGTTGTTTCAAAAGTGATCATTCGCAAGCCTCGGTAATTTCCGTATGCTTCGGGAAAAACTAGAACCTCTTCCCCTGCGTGATGCGCAAACGTTTCTTCTAGACAGAACTCAGTCATGTAATGGCGGATCAATGGCATCTCCATCGCCCCCGTTGACAACAGGCAAACTAGCCATTAAATGTCTTGTGTGTCACAGCAACACAATTCCCTGCTGATGAGGGACATTTGTGGCCCCACATTTGTTTGTATTAGTCAAGTCGGATCTAAGTCGACGTAACACGTGTTCTGATTGGATAAAAAGAAGGGAGATAATTCGTGTTGCGACTTTTTGCCGCTAGGGGATTTTACGAGAACCGGGAAATATGGCCGTATTAGAACAGAGGTTCGTAGGAAGATATGACAAGTAACCTCTGTGGGAAGAGAATGGGGTAATGTGTGTTGTTCCATGTTCATGTGACAAGTAAATTACGGGCTAGATGTGTGATCCGGCTTGGTGGCGTGTGTCAGCATACTTCAAGTTGGATGTCTTCAAGGCAGCTAGGTGTCTATAGCTGTCTATAGCTCACATTTATTTTGTTAGATGGTAGGTCGGGCTTTACCCCAGTTGTACTTGCAGGGGTGTCGGTGTCTCCTGCAGTGGTGTTTATGGAATATTGCTAAAATCATACGCACTCTCTCATTCACTTATAGGGAGATGTACCTAGACGGCAATAATCTGGAGTGTGAGGGGGTCACAGAACTCATCAAGCTGTGTGTGGACCAGGCGGAGGCGGAATCCTTCCAGAAGGCCGAGGCGGCTCGCATCAAGGAACAGGAGGAAGCACTGAAGGCAGAGATGGGTGAGACAGTGGTTATCTCCCTTAGAACTCTCCTTAATCAGAGCATTAATTGTATCGTGAGAATTATCAATTTGTGCCTCCCTGAAATCCAACAGTTTTGCTGATGAGGTGCAACACCATTCCCAAGAAAAGCATTCTTATCCAAAACAGCTTCATTATTTGTACTTTCATCTCTGCAACCTTCTTGCAACAGGTTTTTAATGATGGGTGAGACAGTGATTATCTCCCTTGGAACACTCCATAATTTTTCATTTTTTCATTCTGAGTTTTAGTGAGGTAAGTTTTACGCCGCACCCAGCAATATTCAGCTATATGGCGGCTTTTCATTCTGAAAATATGGACCTGAATTTTTGCTTCTGGGAAATCCTACAATATTACAGTGGAGAGTTTGAAGAGTCCCAAGAAGAGTGTAATTACTGCAGGCCACAACTTGATAATGCAATTATCTGTAACCTCTCAGCAACAGGTTTTTAACCAGTCACATGCCATCTTTGGTTGGCATACCCAGTGACTGATCACATGATCTCAGATAATACTCAGATTCCATCTCTTCCCGGTAGGTAGTAACTGTGTGTATTGTCTGCCACAGAGAAGGAGAACCGCTATGCCACACACAGTGAGCAGAGTGCAGGTGCTGAATCTGATGGCGCCAAGTCTCCCACGGGCAAGAAGAAGAAGAAAAAGGGTTAGTTTCGTAATCATATTCAGTTTTATATTTTGAGTATTGTATTTCTTAAGATAATTGTGTTGTCCCAAACTGCCTAGCAGGTGCCCCCTACAGTGAAATGGTTGGAATATTTTGGGAATATTGCTTAAAGTGGCGTACAACTCAGGTCATTCACCTGCAGCCATTCTTCATCACTCATTCATGGAATCATTCTTAAGCACTCCCTCACTCACATACTAAAGTATATTCATTCATTCCCACTCACTCAATCACTCACCCACTTACTGCCAGAAACTCACTCTCACTTACCCATTCCCACTCACTCACTCACTCACCCATTCCCACTCACCCATTCCCACTCACTCAATCACTCACCCACTTACTGCCAGAATCTCACTCTCACTTACCTATTTCCACTAACTCACTCACTCACCCATTCCCACTCACTCAATCACTCACCCACTTACTGCCAGAAACTCACTCACTCACTCACCCATTCCCACTCACTCACCCATTATCACTCACCCACTTACTGCCACCAACTCACTCACTCATTCACCCACCGACCTCACTAATTCTCTCTCATTTCCACTCACTTACTCAGTGCTTCAGCCAGGCAAGCGCCATTGCGGCATTCACTCTAAAAAATATGCAATGGCACTTTTTTTCAATGCTAGAGCACCCATTGGCGCAACATTTAATATAATCCACAGGTCTTCTATACCATGGTTACCATGAATGGCAAAAGTCTCAACTGCATTGGCCCACATTTTAGTAGTTAAGGTGCCAATTGGCAACACTCAAAAATATTCTGGCTGCAGCACTGCTTACTCTTGTTTTCTTTCTCCAACAGGCAAGAAAAAGAAGAAGTCGAAGGAGCCCCCTCCCCCTTCCCCGGTTGGGCCGTGGGTGTACAAGCTCCATGTTGCCGACAATGGCATCGACTCCATGGGGGACAGCAGGGAGGTAGCACCCATCATCTGCATGAGGCTCTTCAGAAAGTGAGTCAGAAATACTGTTTCAGTTTTGATAGAGATTTCCGTGACGTTCTATAACCCTGTGGAACTCAAGAAGGCAGCTTGTGGAAATGTTTGTTTGAAATGTATTTGTTCAGGTTGTTCAATTTCATGGTACAGAAAAAGAAACCCAATAAAACCCATAAAGTAAAGCTTTGGTGTTACTTCACTCTTACCTTGACAATGGTGTAAGAATCTACACTGAAACTATGCAGTGGACTTGAAATTGTCATCCTTAAAGTTGTATTCTTTTGTCATTGAAATACCAACTTCAAGAATGCTGATCAGACAATTAGATTCTACATTTTGCTCTGTTCCAGATTGTTGATGTGCTCTGACTGCCTGGAAGAGCTTGACCTCGAGGACAACCTGATCGGTGACCTTGGAGGTCGTGAGATCATGGAGGGACTGATGTACAGGAAAGAAGGTGATCTGTCACGTACAGGGGACTCACTGTAGACATGAACAATGTCATGCTGGTATCAAGCCTGGAGAGATGTTTAGCTTCACTGAGCACTGTAATTACGTCAGTGAAAAAGATATGAATTTGGTTGTAACTTTGGTCTAAGCTAATGCAGCTTGTTGCAAGGATCCACTGCCCCTTGTAATCCAGACCATTGTCCTGTCTCTCATGTATCAGTACTACAGTCCGTTTGAGTCAGAAACGGACCGATGAATTGCAAATTTTATCATTGTACAAAATTGCCACATAAATATAAATAGTACACATGTTTATCATTTACTAATACCCAACAGCTTTCCCATATTTGAAAATTGTCCGGACTCCACCAAAAAAGTTGTTTAAGAAACTATCATCATTGAAAACGCAAAAGTTGTTATCTGTCGCGGCGGGGTGATAAAATTTGCAATTCATCGGTCTGTTTCTGACTCAAACGGACTGTAGACACAAACTTCTGAATTACATCCGACACAACTTTCAGACCCACTCAGTCGTCATTATTTCAATGTGTTATTCCCCAGCAACCTGTGTTGGTAGGAAGAGGTGGCTCAGTGGTTCAGGTTGCCTGACACAGTGACTTGGTCGATCAAGGATGGTTGCTCACTATATTGATCATTGGATTTTCTGAGTTTTCATGAAACTGAAATATTAGTGAATGTGGCAATACACACACTGTTACATATGGTTTAAGTGAGTGAATTTAGTTTTACGCCACACTCAGCAATATTCCAGTCATATGGCGGCGATCTGTAAATAATCCAGACTGGACCAGACAATCCAGTGATGAACAGCATGAGCATCGATCTGCGCAATTGGGAACCGATGACATGTGCAACCAAACCAGCGAGCCTATCCACCCGATCCCGTTAGTCGCCTCTTACGACAAGCATGGGTTACTGAAGATCAATTCTAACCCGGACATTCACGGGTTATGGTTTAAGTAACCAGTGTACTTGACATGAGGATGCCTCATGGAGAACTAATTGTGTGACAAAGAGCCATCATGTGTTGATCAGATTCTGATTCACCAAAGGTTGTGTGACACTCCTTCATGATTTTATAGTAGATTGTAAATGAAGAGTTGTTGTTTTGTTTCCAGAGAAACTTGGTGGTGTTAAGATGAGAGCAACACACAGGATGAATTCTGATACGTTCAACACAATCATCAAACTCGGATCAGGACTCAAGAAGAAGAAAAAGGGAAAGAAAAAGGGCAAAAAGGTAACAAGATGGAAGTTTCCAGGAATTGTTCTATAAATCAGTTGCAAGAATGGTTACAATATGAAACTGATTGTGTTTCTTGTATTGTTTGGTTTTTTTCTTAAATAGATGCAGGATAATTGTTCATGCTTCCAGCCACATTTCGTCTTTCTGTCCATTTAATGAGTGTCTGTCCATTACAGAAGTCTTTGTCGTAGTTACGCTATCTAAAAACGAGAGGTTTGTCCAGACAGACGATGGGCGAGCTGGTGTTGATTGACAGCTGAATATGTCGAGGGCGTAGCCCGAGACACAATATTTAGCTGTCAATCAACACAGGCCCGCCCATCATCTATCTGGACAAACCTCGAGTGATTGGATAACGTAACTGCTTTGTACCATGCCCACATTGCGTGTTTTCAAAATCTGCGTGGGATGTTTGAAGTTGAAATCATTCTGTGTCACACAGCCGCGATGTCAAGTCACGTATAGACCTTACATGGTCACAAATAATTTACAATCGAAGACACATTTTTCTTGCAAGCTGCTGAGGTTATGGAAACTCAATCGTCTGTGTTAAATGGGTTGACTCAATTGTCAGATTCGAACACAGACGAAGGTGCAACGTTTCCTGAACTTTAAAACTATACACTTTACACAGGTCATGAAAAATTATGATGTAGACACGAGCTCTCGTTTTAGAATGAAGTAACTACTACAAGGTTTACATTCGATTGAGACTGTTTTATGTGTGGGAACAGTAAGCGTGGCTTGCTAACCTGTAGTGAGCCAATCAGATAGCCGCGGTCAAACGTTACTTCAAGCCGTGGTGTAACAATTAGATCAAAGGGACCGCCGAAAGGGCATGGTACAATATATGCATGTAGAATATGGAAGAACATGAGTACTTGACACTTTATTCAGGTGAATGGTGAAGAAGCAAGAAGTATCTCTGAAACACTGTGACAAAGAATAATAAAGAAGTTGATATCCATAAAATGTGTCATGTATTCAAGTAATATAAAGTGCATGTGCACAAACTATATAACAATCAGAAGTTAAGATTTGGTGACAATTGCTGCAGTTTAATCGGTTTAAACATCAAAATTGAAATTGTTTACATCAAGCTGCTTCAAGGTTGTCTCTGTCTTTTTTCAGAAAAAGAAGTAAAGCATCTCAAGTATTTCTCACAGCCTTGCCAAACCATTACTCCAGATCTTTAAGTACGAATGCGTTGCCATACAGTATTGAAGACAGCAGTGCCACAAGTCTACAGATTCTGTGATATCCTACAACAGCACCATACACACATGTCCAGTGTTTTTACGCTCTAGTTTAGAATAGCACTCGAGTGCCGTTTGATATCAAATATATCAACACGGGTTCATAAAAGTAAAAAAGTGTGAGGCAAAAGATACAAGGGTGAGGTTTATCATCCAGAATAGTTTTTACAACTTTACTCAGTTTGTAAACTGTATTAACCAGTGTTTTGAGTGGGAAGAGAACACCTAACCAGTGGTAGAGAGGCTAGTGATGTCACTTGATTGTAAATCAGGGGGGATCTGTGATGTCACAGTAATCTTAAAGCATTGTGATGTAATATCATTGTAGCAGGGTCTCAACCAACTGATATCTCTTTGGATTATAAATTATTTTGAAGTTATAGATGTCTGCAGACTGACCAGCTGCGGTTGTTGTCACACAAGAATTATGTGTGATATTGTTTATATACAATTAACACGAAGACACTGTCAGAGCCTAGTAGTTAAAGCGGTCGCTCGTCACGCTAAAGACCCGGGTTCAAGTCTCCACAAGATTACAATGTGTGAAGCCCATTTCTGGCCTCCCCTGCTGTGTGGTAAAAGCGGAGAAAAACTATCCTCACTCATTCTTTTAATGTCTTTTGGTATGATGTGCCCAGGGATTAAATACCTCTTGTCTGTCACTCCATGTCAATAGGGAAGCAACTCTGCACAGTAAACTGTGACATCTCAGACAACAGGTACACCTCTGCTCTAATGAAGGACAACCTTAGGCTGGTGAAACAAAGCCTCATTCTGCTCATCGTGTGTTCTCTGTAGACTGTGATGACATTAACCCTAGCTGCTATTGTACAATGCAACCTTAGCACTTACAACACTCGTAAGTCTATGTTAAGGTATGGGAGATTATTATGGCTAAGATCTCTTTGTACAAGGCACCCTGAGTTGAAAACTGCCATTTACTACATATGTGTGATGTTACTGTATTTAAGTAATCTTAACATGACCAGTTTGTGTTTCATTGATTAGAATGAATTCTGTCCATTTGAATGATTTCATGACATCATGACATCTGTCTCAATGCAAACAACAGGGTTTTACGTCTCATGATTCTCACATTTTGAGAAAAACTGTTTTTTCCCATTTTCTTGAAATATTGGGTATATTGTCATATAATGTATAGCGTTATACACATCATAAACCAACCTGATAAACTTACCTGAATAAACTATAGTGGAAGCTGTCTAAACTGGCACCCGTCGGGACTGAAGAAATAATCTGGTTTAGACAGCATGCAGGATTGTAGAACTGACACGGTTACCTACGACTAGAACTGAACCAGGAGGTACAATTTGACTTAAATGACTGAATCATACCTTGGTCAAGAAGTTGTAACACGGGCGTGGTGTTTGCACGGACATTGCTGAGCGACACTCTGTGGGCGTAGCTTTGAGTGTTATCTATAAACAACATGATCTTCCGTCTAATAACTCACTAATAACATACCCATACTGAACTAAGATTAAATTATCTTTGTCGGCAACCATGTAGTTTCAACGCAGGATTAATCGGTGACAGTACACATCCGGCTGACTCCTCACAACACGCCAGAATAGACAGCGCTGATTACTGTATAAACACATAATTGGGCGGCTCATTTCATGCCGAGATCCGGAATTGACAGCTGCCGGATTGCAGAGCTTTTAAATAATGATAAATGTACTAGCCACGGACGGGACTAAGATTTTAAGATGGTGTTGACAACTTGCCTGATTGGACAGCTGCCGGTTTTGACAGCTTCCACTGTACCTATATAAGGAGCACACTTACAACAAAGAGATGACTATAATGAACTTGATCCCAAGCCCTGTTTGGTCCCAAACACTTGCTTTATAATTCAATGGAAATATGAAAAATGAACTATGGTCATAATGAACTAAAATTAGATGTCCCTTTGAGTTCGTTATCGCCATAGTATTGCGATCTAATGAATATGCAAATGAGGCTACCTAACAGGAAGTGCATCAGAAGGCGATCTACATCACATGCTGTTTACTTGCTTAAACACTACTTCATAATAGTCTCATATGGATGACATAGTGACTTCCCAATATAGGAGTGATTTGGTAAAGAAACATGACTACAATAGATCATGAAAAGGGTGGTTCACTTAGGTAATATATTCCTACACCATTTCTCAAGTTACTTTAGGAAATAGCAAAACTTCAATATATAATGGTAAAGGGAATATTATCATGTAAGTGCCTTGTTTTCTGCTGTCTCACTGGAACTGGGCCTTCTTATCTATCCAGTCTTCTAACCGTGTACACACCTTCCTGATCTCTCCGCTCACAGGATAAGAACTTGCTTCTTGTACCCAAAGTAAAGACAGTGCAGTATGGAAACAGGTCCTTTGTCCATGCAGGATCAATGGCCTGGAACAGTCTCCCACAGAGTTTCAGAGACTGTTGTGACTTTCATACCTTTAAATCCAATCTAAAAACACACATGTGCAAGATATGGGGCCACAAATATCCCTCCTCTGCCGGGGACTTGTGTTGATGTGACACCCAAGACATTTAATGGCTAGCTTGCCCGTTGTCAATGAGGGCGATGGAGACGCCATTGATCCGCCATAACATGACCGAGTTCTGTCTAGAAGAAACGTTTGCGCATCGCACAGGGGAAGAGGTTCTAGTTTTCCCGAAGCATACGGAAATTACCGAGGCCTTGCAAATGATCACTTTTGAAACAACGTCGCTGATTGCACAACTAAATCTGATTGCAACCAATCACGAATCCTGAACACTCGCACCATGAAAGGGCCGTATTAGAACAGAGGTTCGTAGGAAGGTATGACAAGTAACCTCTGTGGAAAGAGAATGGCTTTGAGCATGCATAAGCATGGATATATGCACGTTACAAATATGCTATTGTTATTATTATTAAATATCGCATACAGTAATCTGTATTTATAATGAACATGCTTATGATGGAAGTGACAGATATAATGCAGTTTTCTCTTGGCCGTGAACACTTGCTGTGTAATTGATTCAAAATACCTATAACGAACTACTGTTACATTACACTAAAATTAGTTGTCATTTGAGTTCATTAAAATCACACTTTACTGTATTAGGAATAGTGGTGTTCCGATTAATTGAAATAATCGAAGATTGGTCGCAGTTACCAAACGACCAAGCTATCAATCACATTTTCTCATAATCGAACACAAGCGATTTTGGAACTACTAGTTTAGTCTTTGAAACACTTGACGATGGAACACATCTTCAAAGTTGTCAGGGCCTGAAAGCGTGTTTAACTCTTACAAAACTCACTTCTCTCACTCAAAAGTCATGACTGAATATTTCCTGAAGACTCCTGGAAGTTTATGTTCATGATGTATCAGTCATCACTGTAAGTAACAAGTCACATCATGTTATACATATCTGCAATAACAATCTAAATTAGAAAATCTGAAAAATGACGCTAACCAATTTTTTTTGATGATTGCTGATTGGTAATGAAGCAGTCATCAATTGTGAGATTTCAACCGATTCCCAACACTAATTAGAAATGAAATTTGCACACCAGAAACACACTTGGTGTGTTATCTCTTACAGTGTATTTATTCTGAGAAACAAAAAGATTTTTGTTTTCTTGATCCATTACAACATACAAGGGTTTCAGACTGATAAGAAGCTGAATTAATTTTAATGTCATTTATGCTTCAAACAGAAATATAGAACTTACTCGGAATGGTTTTGTACTTTTTTGTAACCTTATTGCTTTAGGAAACAAAGTGTGATGTTGATATCGGTTTTGCATTTATGACAGGACTGACTTCAAGTTCGACTGTTTTACAAGTTTAGAGAATTTTTTTAATCTAACCTATTTCAACAATTAAGGCATTCATCTGTATTCGTGAAAAAGGGTGTGGTGTTTTTTGTATCTCAGTTGATGTTTTCCAGTTTGTGTTTGGGATTACGAAAATCATTCCACATTTTTTAATCATTTTTTCATTTAGTTTTCTTATATTCTTGTATTTAGATGTTATTTCTGAAATATTTCCTCAGTACCTAGTCCCTGTCATCATGTCTGTTAGTGTATGTAGCCATTACCTAGAAGTTACGTTGTTAATGTTCTATAGATTCTGAAATACCTTTACTTTAAGAGGACCTTGGAACATTCAATCCTAGCACAACTTGTATGGATCCTTCAGTTTAGGATCCATTGTGTGAGAGCATGTTTTGTTAAACAGTGGATATTTTATAGCCAAAAATATGACATTTTGAAGATATCAAGAATATGAGGATTTAACGTCTCGGACATTGTCATGCTCTCTATGTCAATAAAGGCAAGGCTCTCCTATAAGTATTTGCTTTCATCTAATATACTTCTTGCTTGTGTAGGGGCGGTGGGGTAGCCTAATGGTTAAAGCGTTGGCTCGTCACGCTGAATCCCCACATGGGTACAATGTGTGAAGCCCATTTCTGGTGTCCCCCGCCGTGATGTTGCTGGAATATTGCTGAAAGCGGCATAAAACCAAACTCAGTCAGTCTTGCTTGTGTACAGTTGAAATGGTTCAATTTAGTAAGAATAGCTGAATGACATGTTATTGCAAATACTGGAAAGTTATGGGTATTTTTTTAATTTATTTCTATTTATGCAGAATCCAGACTGATTATTTCACAGTTGTTATGGTAGTTTGAGGTTGTCGTTGTTGTTGCTGTGATATTTTGACAACAAAATTCTGGAAATCATCAGTTCATTCATCTAGTAAATCAGTATTTGATTTTTTAGAACAATGACATTGCTATGATAAAACGTCTGTGCATTTTTCTATGTGTGTGTCAAGTTGTTCATATTTGTAAGTCATCTTTCTAATAGTTGTTTCATGTGTATGGAATGTTTTAGAGAATGGTTTTCCTTCGTAATTCTTGGGCATCTTTCACAAAGCAATCTTATTCACTGTCACTTAGCATAAAGAAATAGATCAAACCTGAAGGACTTGCACAGTCAGTGTGATACAGTTATTGTAAGTCTGTCTTGAAGACACAATGCCTGTTAGAATGTGGTCAAACATGTAACATATGTTTTATTTGGAATTACATTTTCTCACATGTTACGTTTGACCACATTCTGGCATTGTGGATTCATAGCTTTTGGACATGACAGCTTTGCCAAGTTAGACTTGTCAGAGGGGTAAACAAAGTATGTGTATTGGATTACCTGGCATCAAACTTCCATTTTGTGGAAGTCGCACTGGCTGAGTGGGTTAGATTGATGTCTCTGTGAGCTAGCAATTAGGTGCCTTACTCTAAAAGTGTGGGTTTGAATCAGGGATGGCACTCAACCCCCAAAAGTACAAGAATCTGTAAACCCGAATATAACATGTGTTAAGTCTGTCTTGTGAAGCTAAAGCAGGGTTTACACTAGATAAGCTGGTTCTGTGAGTCTGATTGTGAAGTATGATGACACCTTGAGACAGTGTTGTAAACTATGTACCTTGTATTTTTACCAACAATCTGTGATATAGGTATTCAAGTTATTTCAAAGTCCAAAGAAATTGTAGATGTTTTTGACTTATTTCTGAACATTTTACAGTGAAGGTATACATTGGCTTTAATGTTTGTTGATAATAAAAGCTGTCTTCAAATTATGGTGTTTTTATTATTGTTAATCTTAAACTGGTGAGTAATCATGGTGGTAATTCACTGATCCCAGACAGAAGAATCAGACAAGATATTCAGAGGAAAACACACTATTAAGTGTACTGCTTGTTGCAGTTCCAGATGGACTTGCCACACCCACTACAAGATGTATGTATAGAAACACATGCTCTGTTCCACATGGACTTGCCACACCCACTACACTATGTCTGTACAGAAACACATGCTCTGTTCCACATGGACTTGCCACACCCACTACATGACGTCTGTACAGAAACACATGCTCTGTTCCACATGGACTTGCCACACCCACTACATGACGTCTGTACAGAAACACATGCTCTGTTCCACATGGA